TCTCCTAATCCCAGTCTGGGTAGAATTTCCCCCCAGTCTTCTTCTTAGAACGGCATCGCCTCAATTACTCAATGGGACTTTCCCTGCCTGCAGTACACAACTGTAGCACAAGGGGGCAGGAGTTGATAGTAACTCCTAGCGGGAATAAAATAAAAGGCGAACCAACCCAGCGTTGTCTCCAGGTTTGGTTTGTACTCCTGGCTCCCAGCTTCCGTAATGATGCAAGCCGGGAAAAGTTACTTCCTTCCGGGAAATGGGAAGTGCTGTAATCCAATTTCCCATCCCAAAGCAGAGGGGGGATGTCAGGTTGACGTAGCATCTTTTCACGTTGCACGTCTTAAGGCTGTGGCCCGAATGCTCACGTCTCATAGGGATCTCGTCACTCGATTTAGATCCTGCCTGTCTGTCCTCAAGGAGCACAAGGCAGCAGATCCAATACGCCTGCTCCCAGCTTCTCCCTTTAACTCCCCTTGGGCAGTGGGCTGGACTGAGAGAGAGTGCGTGTGACAGGCCCCAAAGTAACCCAAGGTGCTTCCATAGGCGAGGCTGAATGTGAACCAGGGTCTTCCTATAGCCATTGTCCTGTGCCTTAGCACGGTGTTTCTCACCCCTGGCAACTTTAAGACAGAGGGCTGGCTGAGGAATTCTGTCTGCCTGCCTTAAAATGGCTGAAATTGAGAAACGCTGCCTTAACCAGTACAGTACAGCAGTGTTTCCCAAACTTGACCATTTTAAGGCATGAGGACTTCAACTCCCAGAATTCCACAGCCAGCAACGCTGGCTGTGGAATTCTGGGAGTTGAAGTCCACATGCCTTAAAATGGTCAAGTTTGGGAAACACTGCAGTACAGTAAACCCCGTGGGGCGGCATCGGATTAACTCTGACCGGAGGACCCCCCCGCGCGGTTGTGCTCATTCTTTCTTTAGGAACTAAACCGACTCATGGAAAACGACACGTGGATGTTTGCTGCAGTGCTGGGCATCCTCACCTCAAGGAAAACGTTATTTATTTTTATATTAGAAAAGGAAGACATTTTTGTATTATAAAGTTAGGAGTGCCGTCCTGAATTCCGGCCCTTTCCAATCCAGGGTCCTACACTTCCTATTTCAACAGCACTGAATTAAATAAAGGGGAAGGGCGGTGGATGGTCGAGTGGCAGTTGCTGCTTTTTTTTTTTTCTTTTTTCTTTTTTTTTCTTCCTGAGCTAGGAGTTATGTATTTGGCCAAATCACTCGGTGACCCTTGCTGTCTTCAATACTAGAGGAGATGGTGGGAACAGACCTCATCGCTCAGGAGAAAAACACTAGTTTAGTGGAATAACCCAGGGGAGAGGGATGGAAAGGGACTTTTATGGCCAACCTTCCATCCTTGACTCCCAAACGTAGCCACCTGTTTCAGCTGGATGCACAGAAACCTCTGAGAGCCACCAAATGTACTGCTCTAGTTTTCAAGTTCCAGAAATGGTGGGTTGAGAAACTGTAAATACATTCCTGCATCTTGATCCCTCTTCTATTCTCTTTAGAATTGCTTTGAGGACAGTCTTTGTAATACTGGTTCCTTTTTTGTTTTTGTTTTTTTATTTTCCTCCTCTTTCTTGGGGAAAAAAAAAAACCTCCCCCCCACCTCTTATAACTTCCTATCTTCCGCACCTTTTCGCCCTACTTGGTCTGTCTGCTGAGTGCTGCTTTTGAACCTGACTTCTCTGTATGTTGTTTACCTTTGTATGATTTTTAACAACAAGGAAAGAAAAAAGTTTGGCACCTACAGAGAAAAGCCAAGGGGGGGGGAGGGCGGGGGCAGGGGGGGAGAGAAAAATCTGATGCTCTGATGTCTTACTTCCTTCCTCTTCTTCCTTCCATTGTCTCTTGGAAACACTGTTAATAAAAATCTAGAGTAAACGCTTTTATCTCCTTCTTCTTCTTGCACCTTGGTGTTTATTTTGTCATCTCCCACTTCTTCCCCTCCTCCCTCTGCCTTGCACCTGCATATTAACGCTCAAGCTTTGGGACAAAAAAAGAGAAAAGATTGGCCTTAGCCACAATGTATATGGTCATTGTGATTTGGGGAGATTTGGGTCTTAATGGAGTTATTAAAGCACCCCGCTAGAATTAATTAAGCATTTTCTGCCACGTTTTCTCCAGCAATGATTATTATTTGCTGTATTTCAGTGAAGACGTGCACCTAATTTGTAGCTGGAGACAGGCTTAACTGGCCGTGAGCCTTGGCAAAGCTATTTCTGAATATTGCACAGCATCATTTAATGTCACCGGATGCTTTTGGGACGCTCCCAAGCAGCGATGTTAAGGCTCCTGTTTCCCAGAGTGACTTCCATAAAGATGGATGGTCTTGACTCTTCTTGAAGTTGTCCCGTCCATTTTAAGGTCATCTAAGCAAAATATCCAGAGTCCATCTTGGCTGGACTTGAAAACTAAGCAGGATTAGAAGCCAGTGGTGCTTGAGTGGTGGTGGTGGTGGCCTGGGATACAGGCTAGATTGGGCGGTCAAGAAAACATCCCAGGAACTCCAATGACAAAACTATTCGATGCTACTAAGGAAACTGCATCGAGCGAAACTCGGGGGGGGGGGGGGTTCCGTCATGTGAATTATTTGAGCCTGGCATTGGCTACAATTACATTCCAAAACTGAGCAGGCATTCAGATGACAATCTTGGAAAGTGTTCTGAAGCCTTCCGGAACCGTTATCTTCCAAAATCAAGCATGGACTTGCAGGACTGCTGCGTGACCCACAGTGCATCTCACCTGGCCAAGTTCCACCACAGGTAGTTTATGGCTGCTTTCAAAAAAGGACACCAGGTCAAAAGGTTGGGCTGTTGGCTTAAACGTGCAAACTTAAAACGTAGGTATTCGTTTTATCCTCCAGGGAATCAGCTGGGGACACGATGGGGGCTTACACTTCAAAGTGTGGAGAGAGAGAAAAAAAATGGGGGGGGAAGGGGAAAACAGCAATTTACCTCTCCTGCCCTTTCATCATGCCAGCTTCCCCAGAGGTAATACAGATAACAATTCAGGCAAAAACTCCCGTTTACAAGCAAGCTTGCAGATAGCAACTGGAATGAGACAAAGCCAGTCTTGAATTGAAAGCTAAAAGCTAGGGTGATTTGCAAAGAGAGCTAGCAGGAATCTGGCCATCAGAAGCCACTTATAACAGGACCTACAAATGGCTCCCGAGGAAATGTCTTTTGAACAAGAACAAGCAGCCAAAAAAGAGCGATCCCCTGCTCCATTTGCACCCTGGATAAAGATCCCACTTTAATGCACGTCTCTTAATATTGTTACGATTAAGAAAACGGACTTGACCTGTCTCCTTTTGCTCAGCCTAGTTACCCAGATGGAAGAACACCTGGTTGATATGTGCCAAGACACCGCATAACCCCTTCAACTTAGGCGTAAACTGAAGCTCCTACTATGGTTAACTTGAAAATAACAAGGTTCTCCTCAGTCTGGGGGTGTAAAGATTTAAGTTGAAACGATTGGTGGCGATTCCTAGAGCCAGGATTAAGGACGATGATTGCCACAAGGATGCTGATTTTCAATTATCCCAAGCTTCCTACTGATCACTGGGTGGAGATCAACGAAAAGAGATAAATTTAGCCTTCTCTGCACCCTGCCTAACATTTAATATAAGGATCTCTCCTCTTAATTATCTATTTCTGCCAATTTAATCTTCTTGCTGCATAAACGCATCACTGTGCTATTTCCTTCAGGGTTCTGCTTGCTCTTAAAAACTGTCAAAAGCGTCAGTCCATTAGATTTGCTTCTCTTTCGCTCTTATTCTGTAATGGGCCTGCTCAAATCTGTCAATTTTCAACAATATGCTTCTGCTCCCAACCATACGCCGAGAACAGGTTATGATGTGTAAACTATTGTCCTTTTACAACGTTCATTGAAAGTGATGTGGATATCAAGAAAGATGAAAAATTCACACCTTTTTGGGGGGCAGAATCCAGCTAAGTTCACTCTGCAGCCAGAGATGCTGGCGGTTGAAATGTTTGATGCTTTCCAGTTTTCCACAAATTCTTCTGAGACGTGGGCGTTCCAAATCATTTGATCTTGTTTCCAGCTGGAAAGCCGTTTCTTAAAACTCCTACTTGGTTTCCATTTCCAAGTTTTATACAAAATTAGGGCTGTAATCATCTGGACAATTGTAACAAGCTGTTTGTGTGTGAAACATTTTGCTGATATGTTAAAAGAGTAACACAGCAGTAACAGATGGCCCAAAAAGAGCTTGCACACACAAATGTAGCTGTATCAAAAGTTTATTTTCCCTTTTGCAGTGTTTGAACATTGTGGACATATGCATCGTTGATAAAAATCTGAACTGGGAGATTTCAAAAGGAGAAAAAAAAACCTGCTACGGGAAATACACGCAACCCTCAGTTTGGGATTTAATGCTTGAAATATCCTTTTGATCAAAATTCAGGAGGAAACGGGAGCTAAGAAGCAATGTTAAGATTCCTGGAGAATTTTCCTGGCCTTCAAGATAATTTGCATGTGCATGTTACTATCCAGCTGAGCAAAACATGCTTTTCTGCTGCCCGTAATTTCTGCCTTTTCCACCCAGAATGTCTGGGCTCTGTTGACACCCTGAAACAGCAACTACTGTGTCGTGCAAGAGTTTTTATTTTGTCTTACACCTATGTAACCGGTGCGATTTGTGTGATGGGCCAATCAAGAAAATTAATATTACTGATTACACTAGTCCTAGATACCATACCCCCAGCCAGAGAGATTTACAAGCCACTGTTGACCACTTAGCATGTGGCACAAACCCAGTCAGTTGTGGTTTCCGTACTAAATCGTGGCTTAATGGGATGTGTGAACATGGCCAGCATTCTCGGGCATCTAGCCTTCTTCTCCCAAGAAACTACGCTTAACCGAGATGTTGTGTTTGCTAGCAGGAAAACCAACGTGCATGAAATCCCACCTTCTCCTTCAACTGGTGTGATCGATGCAAGTGTTGTGTTTTTCTTTCTCCCACAGGAGATGCCACTTACCTTGACATCTTCCGGGACTTTTCCCACATGGCATCCAACAATCCCGAAAAACTCAACCGCCGTAGCCTTCATTTCCACCCTTCTTACCGATAGCTTTCACCTCTGGCGTTTACTTCTGATAACCTCAAAGCAGTAACCAAGACGAGAGGTCCTATGTGACAAAAAAAAACAACAAGGAGCTTGTGAAGAGCGGAGTCTATCTGAGATGTGATGTCTCTACCCGTCATCCAAAACATGTACCAGTTTTGACAAACCTCCCCCAAGGAATTTCCCCCCCCCCACCCCCCCCCGTTCCCAAGACTTTCTGAACAATATGGCACGGCCTTGTAAATACATCTGCCAGAATTATTAGCCACAGAAATGGATGAACAAAAAGAGAGTTTTTGCTACAACTTTCTTCCTTGCTAGCCGGGGAGTCTTCTTCACTAGCTGCTGGCAGCTGGTTGCGAGTATATGACAAGAAAGGTCATGATGATTGCGTGCCAGTATTAGATAGGGAAGGATTATTCTCATCTATTATTAGTCTTGGCTCAATGGGGTCCTAAAGACTATGATTTAACTGCAGCTTATTAAAGAAAATACAGTTTGATGGGACACATCCCAAGGGCAGCTGCGTTCTGGGTTAGCATGAAGTCCAATTCAGACAATCTCAAGTCCTTCTCTCTTCTTTCTGGACTTGAAAAAACTGTTCCATAAAGCAGAAAATGGCTTTGTTGTGGTATTTCCCCCCCTGTAATAGTACTTAGGATGTTTTCACTGATCAGAAAGTTCCTAACGGCACATTTTGTTCCCAGGGAGTTGATTTGGATGGCATCACTGTTGCTAGAACTTGAACCTTGAACCCAGGACTGCCATTGAACCCAGGACTGCCATTGACTGGGGGTACTTTCAAACAGGTGTGCTGCTTTTTCTCCTGCCTTTAATTATTTTTCCTTCTTAATCTCGGGCTCGACCTATTTTTCCTGCTTCCATTAACGCCCCTAACCTGGTGTCAGTGTGAAGCATTGTGGGAAACTAAAATGGGGGTTTACCTCTACGGAGATTCTCAGTCATGCAGTTCATGGTTGTCCCAAAGGTGCTTTCTGAAGCGTCAACTGGACTTCCTTTGTTTTTCCTGGAAGACGTTTCACTTCTCCTCCAAGAAGCTTTTTCAGTTCTGACTGATCCATTCTCCACCATTCAGTCAGAAGCAAAACTTCTTCTTATAGGAAAAACAAAGGCAGCCCCATTGCCTCTTCAAAAAGTACCTTTGGGATAAAATGATGGTCAGGCTTCCTTCCAAATGCTGCTCTGAAATAGGAATCCAGGACCAACCTCCCTGAAATTTTGCACCTGTCATTGCCAAGCTGCCACGACTTCCCGAAATGAATGGGCTGGCCAGCACTGTCCATTTGGGGGATATGATTGGTTCCAGCTTTTCTTCCACTTTTATCGGGAGTTTTATTTTTAGGGATAAATGTAGGAACTTGCTGGGGGGGGGGGAGAGGGATGGAGGGGCTGTGGTTGAAAGAAAATGTTGGTGGATGTGGAATTCCAAAGCTGACTTCCTTGCTGGTGGTTGGTGGGTGAGAACCAACAGTCGCACAGATATGCCTGCAGATTAAAGTCATTATTAGGTTTCCTTCTTTTTTTAAAAAAATGGAGAGAGAAACAGAAGGCAATGTCTTCCAGGAACTAACTAATTTCCTTGGCAAAATGGAACCTCTTTGGTGAAAGCTGAAGTCTGATTATGGGGGTTTGAATTTCAATTGTGTTCCAGAATACTTGACGTGGCCTTCTGGGGTATTGTGGGAAACTGAGGCGGCTGGCCGGCTCGTTGATAGCCATAATCCACCATCGCCCTCCGTTGCTTGCTAAAATATTTTGATCATAGTTTTTCTTCCTTCTCTTTTTTTAAACAGCAAGAATTAATGGAAAGTATTATTTTTATATATATATAAAAAAGCTCATATTGTTTCATAGTTTTGTTGTTGGTTTTTTTGAACAAGGTTATAGGGAAGAGTTTGTACTGGTACAGACGTCTTCTTGCAAGTGCTTAATTTTTTTAGTGTGTATAGACATCCTTGTTTATGTGCTAAAAATGTAATATATCTCCAAGCAAAATATAAGTATTTGTAAAATCTTGGGGAGCTGGGGGGGGGAAGAGTGGGAGAGATGGACAGCAATGCCTTATTTACAAGAATATAAATAAACTTAGGAGAGATTTTTCTTCCAATAAACCAACTATACTTTCCTTGTAATTTTTTCCGGTTTGGATTTCTTTTAAGTTGGTGAGAAATTATGTCATGCTATATTTTATAGGATAAATTTTATTGGGAACAGTTTTATGGCCTGGAAAGCCAGGTGACTTTTATTCTTTTTTTCTTTTTTTTTTTTGAGGTAAGCTAGAACAAGTACTTTGTGTCCTAAGATTAAGAAGCCAAAATGTTTTCCTTTGAAATGTTTATACTTCTGCTTTCTTAGTAATGCTATTAAATTATATGTTAGGGAGGGATTAACTGCAGACTTCTAAGAACAAAAACATTTTGGATGCTTTAAAAATGCCCATGCCTAGAAATACACACTGCAGATGTATGTATGTACAAGTAGTTGTCAACTTACGAACACAACTGAAACCGGAATTTCTGTTGTTAAGAAAGGTGGTTGTGCCTCGTTTTATGACCTCTTTTTCCCCACAGTTGTTAAGTGAATCGTGTCATTAAGGCTGCTTGTCGGAAGCCAGCTGGGAAGGTTGCAAATGGCCATCCCGTCACCCATGGATGCAACAACTAGTGTAAATACACACCAGTTGCCAAGCACCCAAATGTTGATCACCAGTTATAAATGTGAGGACTGGTTGTTGGTCACTTTTTTCAGTGCCGTTGTAACTTTGAACAGTCACTGAATGAATGGTTGTAAGTTGAGGACTGCCAGTTCAGCCTCTTTTTCTTACCTCCGTCTCTTCACCATTTCTCAACCTGCGAACAGAGGGTTCTAGCTCCGCGTGCCACAGAGGAGCTAGAACCCTCTGTTTGCAGGTTGAGAAATGGTGAAGAGAGTGTGACGTGACGTGGGTTGCACATTTGTTTATGCGTGTGTTGTTGGGTTGTATTTCACATGTGACAACGTGGGGTTTTGGCAGACCCCATCCTGGACTGTTAGTTTGCTTTTTTTGAATCCTTTCACTTAGGAGGAAACAGAAGCAGTGAATGTGAGTGCCAACACACAGACAGTTTTCGTTTGGCTCCGTTTCACACTTGTTCAGCCCCATGTCGGCTTCCGTCTGTTTTTTCACCAGTGCCAAATCAACACAATCTGCCCCAAAATGTCTTTTTTTTTTTTAAACTCCCAGCTTGAACAGATGCATGTTTTCTAGCATGGATGTGATTTTTTTTTTCCCACCCCCTGTGGAAAATGCACCAGGTGCTTTCCAGGCAAACGGCGCTGAAGAACAAGAGGGTAGGTTGATGACGTATTTATTTTGCCCTAGGTTAATGCATATATCATTGGCTTTTCTTATTTCTTATAAAGACAGCTTTGCTCTCCTCCCCGTGCGGTTCCATTTTGCAGAGAAATGACTGAAAAAAGCAGACAGAACTTCGATGGGGACAGCGGCTGCTTCGAAAGGAGCTTCAACAAAACGGCCGCTGGGCCCTGCAGCTGGCCACTGGAAGGTTTCTGAATTGAGGGCTGTAGCTGAAAAGATGTTTCTGGAAGCAACTGGCAGCTTTCTGGTCACACTCACACACCATTTTCTCACAGCGATCCCTTGACTTGACTGCGGAGAGGGGAGACCATGGCGAAGTGCACATATGAGGATAAACTGAAGGTAGCCCACTGTGACTTTGTCAAATTAAAATACAGTTGCTGGCATGGTTCATCTCAGGAGTGTCCAACCTTGGAACTTTAAGACTTGTCGGCTTCAACTGCCAGCTAGGAGGAATTCTGGGAGTTGAAATCCACAAGTCTTAAAGTTGCCAGCGTTGGACACCCCTGGTTTATCTGGTTTTTTTTTTCCTTTTTCCTTAAAGAAAAGGGTGTATGAAATCTGGGATTACATCTCCCCATGCAGCCCACAAAGGCCACTTCTATTTTACAAATTCTAACCCAAGTGACAAGTAGCTACAAATAGGCCAGCTTCTGGACTAAATTGTGTTTTAACCAGCTACCACAGTCTGGATAACTGCAGCTTGCAAACATTAACGGCTGACTTCCCACATTGCACAAAGCTAAATCCGAGCAGTCCAGCGGGCCTGCTTAGCTGGACCTTTCCCCTTCCTGTTTGACCTTCATGCAGACGGCTATTTTGATCCAATTCTCCGGTTCGGCATTTCGTTAACTTACCGCACTTGATTTTATCTCCCTGGGCATAGAACCTGTAGGTAAGGACTTTGGGGTTGCAGCCGTACATCTCCACCTTGTTGTAACAACAGTCATGGCTGTGGCAACATCTTTGGGTAGAAAAAGAAAACGCATGTGTCAGATCTTACCCGTTTGGTTCAGAAGCGATAAATGAAAACGCATCCGAAAGCTCATTCTGGAATGGCGTGGCCACCAAACGCCTTCAAGTGTTGTTGTTGTTGTTAATTGCGAAGTCGTGTCCGACCCATCGCGACCCCATGGACAATGTTCCTCCAGGTCTTCCTGTCCTCTACCATCTTCTGGAGTCCATTTAAGTTCACACCTACTGCTTCCGTGACTCCATCCAGCCATCTCATTCTCCGTCGTCCCCTTCTTCTCTTGCCCTCCATCTTTCCCAGCATTAGGCCCTTCTCCAGTGAGTCCTTCCTTCTCATTAGGTGGCCAAAGTATTTGAGTTTCCACTTCAGGATCTGGCCTTCTAAAGAGCAGTTGGGGTTGATCTCTTCTAGGACTGACCGGTTTGAACGCCTTGCAGTCCAAGGGACTCGCAGGAGTCTTCTCCAGCCCCGGAGTTCAAAGGCCTCCATTCTTTGGCGCTCAGCCTTTCTTATGGTCCGACTTTCACAGCCATACATTGCAACTGGGAAAACCATGGCCTGGACTACACGCGACGCCTTCAAGTAGAATTATGTAATGTCTCCAGTTTTGTTTTCTTAATATGCAACCCTGAGACTCTGTGTCCTCAACCATTCTGGCTAAGGACCCTGGAATAAATATAATATTTATTCCTCCTCCTATCACAGAACGAACTTCTTGCGATGCTCTGAGAGTCCCGGTACGATTTAGGGCACGGGTTTCCAAACCTGGCAACTTTTGAGAATTGTGGACTTCAGCTCCCAGAATTCCTCAGCCCGTCATGCTGGCTGAGGAATTCTGGGAGTTGAAGTCCACAAGTCTTAAGGTTGCCAAGTTTGGAGAACCCCTGGTTTAAGGACGGTGAAGCTCTTATAGGTTAAATAAAAAAATTAAAAATAGCAGTAAAATAAAACATGCCACATCCTTCCCACCCAGCCAGCCAGCATCTTGTAGCAGAAAAATTTCCAAGAAATGAGATGAGGTTAAAGCAGTGGAGATACTTTTGCTTTAAAATCAACTCCTGTATCTCAAGGCAGCTGAAGGAAATTAGGAACGGCATACAGGTGAGGCAGCTGGCCGGCAGAGTTCTTCGCTGCTTTGCATTGAATGGAGACTTCCCTGTGTCTGCCAAGCAATGATTGACTGTTTTCTGCAAGACAAGTAGTTCAATTTGGCAAGTGAGCTGCCTGCAAGACTGTGCCTGTTTTATGTGGATGTCACAGCAGAAAAGAAATATCTGAAATCAGCAGATCATTCCTACTTTGGATCTGGATGTATAATTCAGCCAGAGGCTTCTTTGTTGGTTCTGGAAGTTTCCGGTGAAGCAAATGAAATATACTCATTTTAAGAACAGGTAAATTCAAAAATTGCAAGGGTGGGGTGGGTGGGAGGAATCGTTTGTTGGCATAACATGTATTCTGTCCGGCAAAGAAATTAGCAATGCATGCATAAAAAATGAGAAGGTCTTTTTAGTTTTAATCTCGGTAGCTTTCTGTGCATCTTGTGTGAACATCGTTAGTTATTTTGTCAGTTCGTTTATTATGTTTCTATGCCGCTGCAATTTGAAAAGGCTAAGCAGCCTACATGATATGAACACGTTAACGCAGGGGTCTTCAAACTTGGCCCTTTGATGACTTGTGGACTTCAACTCCCAGAATTCCTCAGCCAGGCATGCTGGCTGAGGAATTCTGAGAGTTGGAAGTCCATAAGTCATCAAAGGGCCAAGTTTGAAGACCCCTGCATTAACTGAAAAAAAAATCCATGGCGCATCTAATAAAAACATTAAATGTCTAGGTGCTAAAATCACAACAAACCGTATTAAGAATAGCAAACAAAAGGATAGGCAAAAAAAGAGTCAAACCCATAAGAAATGGTACAAATCATGAACTTAACTGAATTAACTCCTTGATAAAATTAAGTTTTTTTAACACCCTTCTGAAACTCATCAGGGAAAGAACCAATTTGATTGCCCAAAGCACTGGCAATGCCCCTGAAAAGCAGCACTTCGGTACAAAGTTAGAAAATGAGCTAATTTGTAGTCAGGTTAAATGTATATGTGAATGTAGTTTCTAAAAACAGTGCCCCCAAAAAGTCCACTCTAGCTCTGATTACACCCATTTTCTAATTTCTCCCACGCCTGTGGAATCCACCCGTACTAGGCCTGGGCCATCCAACCCTTTTTCCACGTATCTTTTCAGCATGAAATCCCAATGCCCCCTGGATAGTCGGCAAAGGTTGATACATTCAGCCATGGGAGGGAAAACGAAGGTACCTCTCACCTGTCGATGGCGTCTACAGGAAGGCCTTGAGTCCCAGCTCCGCAGTGGCACCCATAGTTGGTGAAGTTAGCCAGGCCGTAGGTGATGGTACTGAGCTGGATCAGCTCATTGAACTGAGCAGGTGAGCAGGTCACCAGAGCCAATCCTGAAAAAGGAATTGTTCGTTTTAGGGAAGCAGAAAGGGCTTTGGAAGGAATCGCGAGGCCCCTAGAGTCTCTTCTCTGCCTTAGTTGACGTGTTTCTGTTTTCCTTTCCCAGCAAGATCCAGGGTGATGCTTGAAGCAATGCCCTCACTCCAATTTGGCTTAACGGTGGAGCCATCTCGGAATGAGGGTCACTGTCTCTCCATTCTCTGGGAAGCAATTTGCACCGTCCAAAAAAGGATGTAATTGCAACCACCAAATGAAGCACAAATTGGGAAAAAATCCCTCCACGTCTCCCGAAACCGCTTTTTTAAAATAAAAGACATTGTAAAGAGCACATACAATTCCACTCTCAGAGGAATTGACTTACCACAAGCCAAAAGCAGTACGGAGAGGACAATAGGCTTCATTTCGGTGGTGGAGCAATGTAAAACGAATCTGGTTCAGTTGCTGGAGGGCTGGTTTTCTGCAATGTTTCTGGAACCACCTATCGCCTTTTATAAGCAGACCTCAATCAAATCCTTGGATGAAATAACCTATCCCTCCGGCCACTGTTCATAATAATTATACCCAAAGACCAAAACAAAACAAAGCTACGGACCATAATTATCAAGCAGGTCTAAAAACACTGGGATAATTTTGTTGGATAGAACCCAAGCATATATATTTCTTTGGGCCACTGACCACTGCTTTTTATTTACTTAAAACCTCAAGGAAAACAACAACTTGAGACAAGGTGTATCTTGGTTTAGTGAGAGGCAAATCAATATATGTTCTGGTCAATATCATGCTTGTTTAAGCGTATGCAGAGGTCCATTTGAGATTAACGTGCATTTTTTTCTTTTTTCTTTAACCTTTGTAAATGATCTGCCTGAAGAAGTGCATGTATGTTCTAATTTTAAGTCTTTTTTTCCCTTCAAAATCTCTCAATTCTAAATCTGTTGTTATTATAAAACGCATATTTTCTATATGACTTTTAATGCTGAAAAGGGCAGGACCATTTCCATCAAGACATTATTTCAAGAATTACAGTTTTGGCTGATGGGTATCGAACCGGCAAATGTGTGAATTAACCAGGAGAGTATTAGTTATTCCTTTAAGAATGGCAGTAGCTCATCTTTCTTTTTAGTCTATATTTTGCTAGGCCCAGTGAGGTGCTCTTGGTTTTAAACCATATAAATAGATTTGATCTGTGGAAGAGGATAGATGAAAAGATTGTGGTCATCCCCAGGGTACTGATGTTTCCATGACAGATTGACAGGCGATGCCCTGTCCTCATTTCAAAAACAGGGAAATGTTTTGATCTGATAGCCACATTGCCTTTGGTCAAGCACAGTGATGGTTTTGTATAGCCACAAGCCATTTTGTTTAGCTGACGCACATCCTCCATTTATACATCCACGGAGAACCAATGAGACAGTCTTTCCCTCTCTGTAGTTGTGATCTGCTTTACTAGGCCTTTTGTGACAAATACCACCTGCCATCTGTCACCTAGAAAGAGTTCAGATAATGAATGATTGGAAAAAGACAAGGGTGGCCTGGAAAGACCACTGTGGGCCACATCTGAATTTTTTGCATACACTGAGCTATGATTTGTCTCTATCTACTACTAATATTTTTCTTATCTCTGTTGAGTTCTTGTTCCTCCTACAACTGATTTCTGGCCATTCCATAATATTGAAGGATATTATATATAATATAATAATTATATTATTATATTATATATAATATAATATAATATAATAATTATATTATTCCCTCCCTTCAATAATGGAGGGAACAACTTGTTTCCAGAGGTTGTGGGTGCTCCAATACTGAGGCTTCTAAGAAGAGATTGGACAACCATTTGTCTGAAATGGTATAGGGCTTCCTGCCTTGGGCAGAGGTTGGACTGGAAGACTTCCAAGGTTCCTTCCGACTGTTTACGCTACTCTACTCTATTCTACTCTACTCTACTCTTTCATCTTGTGGGGAATTACTCCATATTAATTGAATGAGCTTCTTGTGTGGAATTAGATCAGGGGGCCATCCAGTCCAAGATTCTCTCTCTCTCTCTCTCTCTCTCTCTCTCTCTCTCTCTCTCTCTCTCTCTATCTCCCTCCCTCCTTCCCTCTCACTCTCTCTCTCCCTCCCTCTCTCTCTCTCTCTCTCTCTCTCTTACACACACACACACAAACGCACACACACAGAGACAGACAATATTTGACATCAACTGTTAAGTGGCTCTTTTAAGACCTTAAGACTGAACGTGGTTTCCTCCAGCAAAGATCTACAAGCTAATTCCAGAATTCCAAAGAAAAGAGACCACGGCATAGAAAGAACAAAAATAAAGTACAGAATATTATTATCTAAAATAAATGGATGGTTCTTTCATTCATCTCTACTTGATTACATGTTCATTACATCGGAAGGAACAGGGAGGTTGATCCTAACATTGCTTTGTTTTCTTGTCCGCTGATTATCACTGGCTCAAGCAATAAACACCGATGGAGAATGAGGTGATCTTAGGGTATTTATCAGCTGAGGTCATGGGCCATTTCTAGTCTTGAGGAACAGAAAACCACCCGCTAAGGCGGCAATTTGGCAACCAGAAGGAAGAGTTTAGTCAGAGGGGAGAAACAGTGGATCACGTTGTGGAAGAAACCCGGAGGTGAAACAGACATTTAACATTTTGTCAGGCTAGTTAAGGCAAAATAGCATGAGAAAGAGTCAGCCTTCTGACGTGGGCTGATATCCTGGAGATGAGGAAATAGTTCTCAAAATATTCTGTTAGATAATTTGGTTCGATCAACAGTGGGGGTAGCACAGTAAAGTGTTCATGGGTTTTTTTTTGGAGTCTTCTATAATCGAAAGCTGTTGGGTTTGATGACCTCTTCCGTTTGAAGAGAGAATCCAGATCGTCTTTTGCATCCTATACTGCAGCTCCTTAACCTCCAAGGTGGTGTCTGAAATTATTCATTGTTTTGGACAATTCCAGCTGGCGTTTTATTAGCCCGGCAAGTAGGTCATGATCAAGTAGCTCCATTAGAAAACCAGGAAAGAAAATAATATAGCTTGACCCCAGGTCAAATGCTCAAGGAGGTTGAGCCTTTCAGAGCAGCCAATGGAGTGACTCACAGTGTGGAGCGTTGTTGCCCCATTTTTCTTTCGCACATGCGCACGTGGAAAATTAAGAAGGAAAAAGTATATGTAAAAATACACACCCAGATTTTTCAATGACCTTATGAGATGACCCTTCCTTCCTTCCATGCAAGTTAATGATTTGTTTCAGAAGAAACAACGCCCTTTGGAATAAGATGTCCTGGATCAGGAATGCAAGATGTGGGACCAGTAATACAGTATCTTTCCTCCTGCTAAGAGTTTCAGCCAGATAGCCTTCTCTGGGACACGACGTTCCCACTCATCTTCCCTTTTCATTTTTCTGCTTCTTTTTCTATAGGGCATCCATTCCATTCCATTGCTGGGATGATGTTTCTCAACCCTAATTTACTCAGAACTTAATTTCTCTTCCAGGCATGCCTGCGTGTGTTTTAAGTCATCCGCAATGGAACAATGAAAAGGCTTGAAACCAAACCAGTTCTTATTTCTGTTCTCTCTTTGGGGAATTCACAGAAGACAGAGTAAAGGGCAGAAACTATGATGTTCAGATATGACCTCCTCACCCCACCCAAATTTCGTGAGATTTCGGCAAGCTCTCAAGTGTGATTGCCAAAATGTGTTGAGTAATTTCTCATCGAGACAAGGATGAACATGACAATGGAGAAACAATCATATTCCAGAAACGGGTAGCCATATTTGATAGCTGGCAATTCTTGAAGGAGTGAGAACTGTGGTGTACAATTTAAACCTGGCTATCTCTTAATCGCTTCGCACTGTTTTATAGTGACGACATCTCAAAACCACAGACTTAGATCTCCTTTAATCTCCTGGTCTCGTGGTGACTGCTGGTAATAGATGCTTGCTTACATCCTTTGCATTACATTTCTTCCATGTCATGTATGTCATGTATGTGTTTCACTTTGAGAGTGGGCAACTAAATTTCATTTTTGATGTGTGCCATTGTGCCCACAGTATAAAAATGACAATAAAGGTTATCTTATCTTATCATCTTATCTTATCTTATCTTATCTTAATCTTATCTTAAGTTAGGCAGGAATAATAGAAGAGAATATACACTATGTGGTTCAGGGTTGAATTGTATAAACCTGGGTGCTCTCTTTGCTTGCAGATGTTTCACTACCCTACCAGGTGGTAGCATCAATGCTCAGGAATATTCCAGCTGTTAACTGAGCTAGGCAGGTAAGCAGCAGTCAGCAGGCAAGAATTACTATTTATTTCGTATGGCCTAACAGAATGTAGCATTAGCGCATCCAGTCCACAAAAACAGCCCATAAAATGTGTATCAAAATATGAAAAGCCAGTGCACTGAATTATTTTAAAAGCACATAATACAAATGATAAATACAATTATGAACAAAATTAAATTATATGTGAGTACTTAGGTAGAGTGGCTAAACGTATGGCTGGATGTCTAGATTGTTTAGCCATCGGAACAGCGGTGCCCTCGAAATGATGTAGTTTCTGCAGGGATCCAGGAAATCTTCTGAGTTTGCAGGACATTCCCAAAGTCACAGAGGTGCTTTTTCAAAAGGCATCTGGACATTCTGTGTTTTTTCTCTTGAAGACCATGGAGGAGAAGCAAAACATCTTCAAGAGAAAAAAAAAACACAGAACATTCAGGGGCCTTTTGAAAAAAGCACCTTTGTGACAACCATGACCATTGAGAATCTCCATAGTCAGTGAGATAGCAGGCAGGAATATTCTGGTTGTTAATACTCCAGTTGCATGAGATTAACAACATCTGGTACTCTTAATTTCCCCCAATTTTTCCTTCCGTCCTTTTGCCTGCTTTACAAGGCAGGTTAGAGCAGCGGTTCTCAACCTGTGGGTCGGGACCCCATTTGGGGTCGAACGACCATTTCACGGGGATCGCCAAACAACGCAGTCCGCCATTTTTTCCCCCTTTTCCTTAGCTGTGCTACTCCCTTTTATTCTATTGGCTTTTGAAAGCCAATAGAACAGACTCTCTTGAATAGAGTCTAATTCTATTGGCTTTCCAAAGCCAATAGGAATTGTCCAGGCTGTCTCTGCCCTGCTGAGCCCGCCAAAAGTCCCATTCTGCAAACGGTGCTGCACCAGTTGAGTAGTCCTCGACTTACGACCGGTTGAGTAGCCCTCGACTTACGACTGGTTGGGGGTCGCGGCATTAAAAAGGTTGAGAACCACTGGGTTAGAGTGAAAGCGAGCGTTATGGGATCAGATGGGGTTCTAGGGCCAGGATGGTGATTGATGGCTATAGGGGAATTTAAATTACTCCTTCTGAAGTTACAGCCATCCCTGGAAGCTCAAATAGTTAAGGAACAGGTGAAGCCAAGAGCAGATATGTAACCGTAAACATTTCTCATTTCTTCATCTTTTCCTTGTCTTGGCCAAGTCGTCGTTTTGCCCAAGTCGTCTCCTTTTTCAACCCTGTTGACCTGCAACTCCCCTCACAAATCCAGTTTCAGTTCTGTAACCCCGTCCCAAATTCTGAGAATGCAGTCCGCCTATGCCATACATGCCCTTCTGCCGAAACGGAGAAGTTCTGTAACACTGGAAACCTTTGTATCGCTTTGCTGACTTGGATTGAAACTGACTTGTCTCTCTGGCCCGTTTTAGTTCTGGAACAGGGAGCAGTAAATTACAGCCTTGGGTAATAAATGGCTATGCACGACTTTCATAAACATATGCAGACCAAAACCAAACAAAAGTATGTATTATGTATATATATATATAAAAAATAAGATTAAGACCTCACCGAAGATGCTTGCAAAGACAAATCTCTTGATTCTTGCATGGGAGGGACCTTCAAATTATTCTTCCAAAGCTCAGATATAGTCTTGGCTTGCTTCCAGATAAAGCTGGCTGAATTTTGATACTGTTGGAATCAATGAAATAAATTGGTCACCAAGAGGTTAATTGAATTAAGTGCAACTGAGTTTACTGGGGGATCTAACTGAATGGATGGATGCTCCGGAAACACGCAATTCTAAATCCAGATTAATTCTTGGTTGAACAGGTGATGCTCAAACAAATGAAGGATATTACGGGTTATTGTCATGGTTCATACAATACAGTACCTGGATTGAAACTACCCCACCCAAACATGTTAGGAAAACTCAACCTTTATGTTTCTAGCAAACATATGGTGGTTTTAAGGGGCTGAGCTGGGCAGATCTTGTTTCAGTCATGGAATGTGCCCCCTTTTACGACTTTTCTGGCCTCAGTTGTTAAGTTAAGAGGCTAATAGCGCTCTTTTTTTTTAACGCAGCTCTTGCGAATCTGCATGATTCTGTATTCCCAACTATAAGCATGTTTGTCCAACCTTTTCTTACAAAAAGGGCAATGAGTGCCGTTTTATTTTAATACTGTGCTGCAATAATATCCCCTTTGGTATATCGGGCCGTTTTGAGGACAACGAAATCCATGGTGGATTTTTTTTTTTTTTTTTTACTTCCTTGGGTGTGAATCATCATTGCAATGCTACTCCTCCCTCTGCCAAGTATCTCCGTTCACGGATTGGTTCATGACCTGCATTTCTACCCATCCTTTCCTTTCCATGCCAGTTTATCTTTCTCTTTTTGTCTTCAGAGTCAGACCAATCTTTCTGGTAGGGTTGAATGAGCTGTCAGTCAAGTGTCAGGATTGGTGCCGCTGTTTGGAACTAAAGTGTTACCCACTGCAACAACCAACCAACAGCTCAGCCAAGATTAAGAGGCTTAGCCTCAGTCTGCCGTGCTCGTTTGGAAAGCTGGTAGCAGACGTGTTGGCTTGCCACTGTAAAGGAGTAGTTGTAGGTTGCCCAAGAAACGAAGTGCGTAACGCCCAAGCTAGCTTGGCTAACCTTGTGCTCCGTGTGACAATGAAGTCAGCAAGCTGAGAGAGATGTGTGAGTTAGCCCTTCTTCAGGACAGAAAGGCATACCTGGTTTTATTTATTATATTCATAGGCTACCCATTTCACAGAAATGGGATTCTAGGCAGCATTTAATGAAACCATTTTAAAAACCAGTAATTACAAAAGCATTTTAGGATTAAAACATGAAATCCATTTATCCTGTCTGTCTGTCTGTCTATCTATCTATCTATCTATCTATCTATCTATCTATCTATCTATCTATCTATCTATCTATCTATCTATCTACCTAAAAGGCGAGGGAAAGCATAACATGTGACACACAATGTAGGCAATTCATTTAAAACCCCGTGTCCTTGAGATAACCTCCCCCCCCCCAGTTTATTGACATAAACAGATTTTAAGGAACTTCTGGAAGGGCATCAAGGCTGGGACCACGTGCATGTTGGATGTGTGTGATGCTCCATAGGGTGGGACCCACGCCAGAAAAGGTCTGTCTAGACGTAATTCCTTAGCAGACGGGATTTGAAGCATACCTCTTCTGCTGGACTTGATGGGATGGGTAATTGGGAAGAGGCAGTCTCTCAAATAAACTGGCCCCATACCATAAATGGCGTTCAAGGTCAAAACTCTGGATCAAGTGATTAGGAAAATGGATCTACACTTATGTTTATATGTATGTGAGTAGATGGATGGATGGATGTATGATCTGATGATATTGAAAGACAACAAAACAATCCAAACAAATTCCTGTCTAACATTTCAACTTTCCAAAATCAAAAGAATGGACAAACAACACACAAGTAAAATAAGCTATTAAATGACACCAGGTAAGCCAAAAAGTTTCAGTTTTTTTTTAATCTTCCCACTCATACAAACACACATCCCAAATAATTTACAGTCAGATATTCATGTTTACAATTACATCCAGATCTCAGTAGCAGCACAACAGTTAGAGAAATAAAATCAAAATGAAAGGGGAGAGAAAAGGAACGCTGACTATCACAGGTTTCTTATGACACAATTTCATCTAGGCTGATTCAGAGAAGTCTGTCCATCCCCTGCAAAGAGAGCTTTCATACCTGAGGTTAACACACCTCTGCCTGCCAGAGATCTGGGGAAAGGGGGGGGGGTTGTTTGAAAATATTGACTTTCCAGAACTACTGGGCTGGTTGCAGTTGGAAGAGGCGATTGGCTTGCTGTAGTACAAGGTGTCTTATGTTCCTTGATATCTTTCTAGAAGGTGTGTTTGGTTTTGGTTTCAACTGCCATTAGTCTCTGCAAATGAGACCAAGGCGGAGTGTTTCTGCTCAGCTATGCTACATTGCAAACTGTCTCACTGCATTCTTCTTCTACTCAGTTTCCTGTCTCCCTTTTCCCACCAATAGTCATTCTTTGTTCTTTGGCTCCCTGAGGAGTATCCCCTCCTCAACTGTTTTTTTTTTTTTTTTTTTTGAACTCTTATTCTTGGAGATTCCCTCTTGTCCATGAATGGTGCCATTTTGGCTTTGTTCAGAATCAGAAGTTAGAGAACATGAATTTCACAGAATGTATGTATCAGTTGGGAATTTGACATGGGTAGCTGAGTTAAGGTATTAACTTGTTTTGTCTAGCAACATGTGAACGGGAGTGATAAAACGGATCCTCTCAATATAATTTGCATTTTGGCCTCCAGCAGCGGAGTTGATTCTTAAAAGAATTTAATAGCATATCCCCAATTCTCTGATTTCTGTCTAAGGAAAAAGCTTCCTTCGCTCCAGATCCGAAACTGCCATGCCAAAGCTACCTCTGCTGAGAATCGGCAAACATTCTACCACTCACATTTTGCTTGCAGAAATTCTTATTTCCTTCTAGTCTGATCTAAAAATAAACTTGCTGATGTTAGCCATAATTGGCAAAAGTGACCACTGAAATGTATTCCCGGCAGGAGATCATATTCAACCAGTCTGAAGGTTGGTTATTGCCAGCGAACCACCGAAATGTAGCTGCATGCAGCTATTTTCCTTTCCTGCCTGAGGGCTTGACTATACTCAGTTTCAGAAAAAGACTAATTTTTGATTTGCATTGTCTTGCATTGCGATAACTATTGCTCTGTGCCTTTGCCTGTTTAACTTAGGGAACATCGAACTTCACATTGTAAAAGAGGAACAAAACATCAAAAGCACCTAACGTAGATTTTACAGGTCAACCCAAGCACAAAAAGTCCTTTCGCTCAAACGAAGAGCACAGATGACTGTTACCACATCCTTCCAAGATCCTGGACCTGCTGATAACGCAGACAATACAGAGCGTTTCCTTGTAAATGTCCACTGAGAGGCATTTTTTAAAAAAAAAATATGGGAGTGGTTTAACATTTAACCTGAGCAAATCTGTGAAATGTCGAGGATCCCAATTTTTTTGTAGTCAAGGGTGCCCAGCTGAATCTGGTTTTCTCAGAATGGCTTCAAGTCAAAACTAAGACAGATTTTTTTTATATAGGGAACTGATCAACCGCCAGGTAGTCTCCCACTGCCCCAGCTCACAAAAAGTAGACCTCAAAACAACATGGCGCATTACTTTCAAAAGAGGCTGCGGAACAGCTCAAAATAAAACTGATTATCCATAGGACAAATATTGCAACAGAAGTAACGAAATGAAGAAACATTTTCAAGTCGATCCAGGAATTCGTCTGCATGCAGTGTCAACTGCCTCGACCGTGGGAGAAGAGGAGGGCACACCTCCATGACCTAGCCCATGGAGGAAGTCCTGTCTTTCACTTACAGGCATGGTCGCTGATCTGCCCCAGCACCATCTGAAAAACCTGGAAGAGGAAAGTCACAAATTCCACCACCTGTTGAATGCCCAATCCCATGGGTCCTATCCTTTTGGCTTTGAGATTTCCAAGTGTGGGGAATTGGCCACTTCCTTCGCAGGCTCCATTTCCTCCGTCCTTTGTGAATCTCTTCCAATGCCGTTAACTCTTGGGATCCTGGCACGTCCCTTGGTCTTCTTGGTGCTTAAATCTGTGAAGAACCACGGGTGGATATAGTTCTGGCATCTGATGTTTGTTATATTTGGAATACGGGGGGAGCCCCTCGTCGTGGACGAAGGACGGATTCTCGTGGGTGGCCTGAGATTTCTCTGCATCTTGGTCTGGGGCCAAGCCTTCTTCAATGGAGCGGTATTTCTCCAAAGTCAAACTCACATTTGGCACCTTAGGGGGACTTGACACCTTGTGTCTTCTCTTAGCCGTAAGCCGCCGATAGAAGAAAATGAGAGATAAGATGGTGACATCCACAAGGAATTCAAACATCTCGACCACCGAGAGTACAGACGATCCAAACCAAAGGCTCCATTGGCTTCCCATGTTGGACATCACCAGGGTCACCTAAACCCAAATAAAATATTAACCGTACAGTTAGTCGTTTCAAACATTGTTCTCTTCCTGGCATAAAGCGTACCCATGAAAGAGGAATCTCTCCTCCCAACTTACATTATATTCTGGAGATTCATCCCAAGAGTAGTAATCTAATTGCTCATAGAAAATATTCACCTTGGCAATATCCTTGCTGAAATGGAGGAAAGAAAACGTGAGCAATCCAAATTTCTCTAGCATAAAGTTTCTCCTTGAATCTGTATTTCATAAAAAAAACAACAACACCCTGATAAAAACAGAAAAAATTTCATTAGTACCTGAAGAAAACTGTCGTTCTTCCTATCAGGAAAGCAAACAAGCCATGCGCCATCTGCAAAAGAAGTGTAGGATTCCTCCAACCAAAGAACAAGACTATCCGGTAACTCACCTGTTTGTGGTGGTGATGTTGTACCTGTTGTCTGCCTGCAGTGCTCTGTGAATCCATTTCTGAAATGGAATCGCAGGGACTAAAATTAAAATGTGAAAGGGGCTGTAAGAAGACGAAAGCTGCACGCCAGATGGGGAGAACTGGTAGCAATAGGGAGTCCAGCAAAGGATTCTGACTAATCTCTGTAAGGATGAGGTGGGAAAAATTGGAGATTTTTTTTTTTTTTTTGAAAATCATACTCAAAGGAAGAGCATGGGATACCTGCTCCCGTTTGAAAGTTTGATGTAGAGCAGTGGTTCTCAACCTGTGGGTCGGGACCTCATTTGGGGTCGAATGACCATTTCACGGGGGTCGCCAAACGACGCAGTCCGCCATTTTTTCCCCCCTTTTCCTTAGCTGTGCTACTCCCTTTTATTCTATTGGCTTTTGAAAGCCAATAGAATAGACTCTCTTGAATAGAGTCTAATTCTATTGGCTTTCCAAAGCCAATAGGAATTGTCCAGGCTGCCTCTGCCCTGCTGAGCCCGCCAAAAGTCCCCTTCTGCAAACGGTGCTGCACCCGTTGAGTAGTCCTCGACTTACGACCGGTGGAGTAGTCCTCGACTTAAGACCGGTTGGGGGGTCGCGGCATTAAAAAGGTTGAGAACCACTGATGTAGAGTGACTGGCCCAAAGTCAGCCAAGGAGTTTTGGTGGGCTTGCAAAAACATCTTCCTCCTTGGGCAAAAGGATAGATTTCTTTTTCTGGCTCAACTTCCAGAACTTCCATGTTGCAGTTGGCAAGGCTGCAGCTCCCCACGGGCTGGGATGGTTTGCTGGAATTCTTATCTCTTCTCTCTGAATTCAGAGTTTGTAGTGTCTGAAGTCCGCCTTATCTCACCTCTTTTTGCTATTTGCTCTCAGTTTCATAACCACAGTTTTGAGTTTTGTTTTTTTTTTAAAAAAAACTATTTGCTTGACCTTCTATGCTTGCATATGGATGTATATATGTATACATACATGTGTCTCTGTGTGTGAATTGTTATTCCTGAAAGGTGCCTCATAAATGATGATCCTTATCCTATTTATAACTCAGGGTGTGCTCTGTCTGTTCTCAGCCATCCTAGATCAGGAGGAGGATGGACAGCTTCCAAATTCTTTCAAGAAATGTGGGATGGAAGCAATGCTACGGGAGTATCTTTAATTGTTATGTTGTCCATTGTAAGTCATTACTACTTTTTCCCCTGTTCCCATTCTGTGCAAAAGGAAAAACAAAAACCCAACATCTTTGCTTTACCTCAGATTTAGTTGATGGCCAGTTAGCGTATCCCGCGGAGAGTTTGTACCAAGTTTCTCTGCCAATGACATAGAGTTTGCTGTTAATTCCACACCAATCCAGCAAGTTTGCATTCATATTTACCTCAAATAAATTACAGTGGGGTCATTGTAATTCTATAAGATGATAAAAAATGAACTGGGCATACAAATCTTTGTCAAACATCTGTATGTGTGAGGGTTTTTTCCCCTCCTGCAAGATTATCTTCTTTTTAAATCACATCTGTGGCAACCAATACATTTATTTCTGAACGTCTTGTTTAGTTGCTCATTTTTCTTGCCCTCCCACTACATCAAAGAGGCTTTCCACCTTCTTTCATGGGAGTTTTTCCCTCAAGCATCTTGCAAAATGCCACTCCTCGTTCGTGGGATCAGTGCCCCGCACAGCTGCTTTCTGCTGGAAGCTAGCAGAACATGTTCCTGTGGCGGGAAAGGTGGCCCAGTTGACTTGAAAAGGTGGCCCAACTGACTTGAAAATTCAAGTCTGCAGCAGCTTATACGCCTACATGCACCCTTGGAGGATCTGAAGCATGGAAGGAGATGAGATTTCCATGGGACAGACCGTGAACAGCAGAAAACAAGGGGAGGCAAACCTGCTATTAGTCAGTCACACATGAACATTCCTCTGCTACTCACTTGCACAGCTTAGGGCACTCGTTGAAGCAGATTAAATGGTGGTCGGTCAGCTCTTTGTACAGCAGATAGAAGCAATGACCTGGGGAAGAGAGGAATGGGGTCAATAGAAGGCAACTGCCACAGGTAAATTGCAGCTGAAAATTCACCCAGGTTGGAAGATCTCAAAGGGGCTGTTTCCAGATAAATACAGCTGGACTGTCACTTCCTATTTACAGCTGAGCAATGTCTGGTTTTTCCCTTCCCGTTTCCAACTGAATAACATTGGATCAGGCTGCTCTCCAAATGCTAAACATGAGTGGGCGTTCAGGCTGCCTTCTCCTCAGTGAGACTTTGAAAAGACAGATTACGGAATAGACAGGCAAAGCAAAGATTACCCCCCCCTCCTTTTTTCTCAAGAAGCCCACATCAATTTCTCAGTAAATGCACCAGCCCTTTGAGAAAGTCCAGAAGAGGAACCAAAAACTACAAGTACAAACACTGCCTTTATTGTAATGTTACAATAATACAATCTTGCAGATAAGATTGCAAGATTGCCTTTATGTTTCCGAGAATTAGGGAGAGTTGCTTCTGAGATGTTTCCCCCACCCAGTTCCTCCTGTGGGCTGAGAGATCTCTTTTCAGACCGCTTCCTTCTATCTCCCAAGGTTGTTCTCACAGTCCATTACAGAATGGGACCATCATGGCAAAATAAACAGGACTCGAATTGCAAAAAAAAAAAAAAAAGATAAAAGAAAATGTCCTCCCTTGTCAAACTGTACTGCACCTTTGTGAAACAAAAGATGGTATTGAAGCTCGTAAAATCTATAACATGAGGACTCATTTTGGCATCAGGTGGCACAAAGAAAAGGCAGCTCTTTGAGTTTCAAAACGGTAGCAGGGGCAACAGGTACTGTAGGTTGCCCATCTCCCCACCCCGATAGAGATTGCCTCTGTCTAACATACAGTGAAGCAAGACCCTCAGCCAGCTTAGAGAGAAAGATGTGAAGGAGGCCAGCCAGACCAATGGTCCTTGTCAATCGTGATTCCTTACCCCAGGCAGGATGTTTATTGTAGTTGCAATACTCGGCTCCCGAAGGTAGCGGGTAAAAATAATATCCGCAGCCACACTTCTCAACCATATGATGCTGGAAGCAAGAATGCAAGCAGGCCTGCAAAACGGCGAAACGGCAATGTTGGTGGGAGAGCAGATCAAGAGAAAAGGGACTTTCCTCACGGGCTGAACGTGGGACATTCGCTAGATGGCACGAGGAGCGTGGGTTAAGAGGAGCAGTGAGGGCTATAGCCAACTGAGGAACACGAAAATTAGACTGCTCTGGGAGTGAGCGGGGAAAAAGATCTCTTGACAAGACGATAAGATGCTGAATTTCATACCGGGATTGCAATTAAATTCATAGCCCAGGCAGTGGGAAAATTGGAGCTGGATATTGTTTGAAGGGGACCCGCGTTAAATATATACATATGTTTATACAGTGTAGTGATGGCTGCCAACTGGGAAGACATGAAAAAGAGGGACTAGACAATGGACAAGTTCAATAGCTCATAATGACTGTTATCTGGACTCCGGTATCAAGATCACTTCCTAAGGAGTTCAGTGACTAAAAGGGTGCAGCAATCTTTGGATTTTCCAAGAGAAATTCTCGGAATTCTGGACTTCTTTTCTTGGTCATCACTTTGGGCCAGGGTCAACTGAGATGGCCAGGATTCCAAGACGAGACATGAACAGATAAATGAGGACCATGGCCTCTTCATACCTGCAGCGTATATGTGCTGTTGTAGAGTAACTTGATGTTGACATCTTCCCCATTATTGGTACATAGGCCGTAACTCCCACCCAAGCGGGACACCTCGTCCTATGCCATTGGAAGAGAAAAACAGTATTTTATTGCAATATTCGAATGTCTCCAAACCCAGCTGCTAATGCTTAGTATTGTCTGGACTAGGTTGAAATATTCTGCCTCCATGTCTGTTTGGGAATATGCTCAATTCACTTGCCCTGGCTGGTTGTTTGGGAGGGTATATACGCCTAGAGGATAGTCTAAAATCTATATGGTTAATGGGGTTCCTCAGAGTCAACCCTGAACTGTACAGGTAGTCCTCGACTTACAGCCATTCATTTAGTGACCACTTGAAGTTACAACAGCACTGAATAAAGCAACTTATGATTGCTTTTCACACTTACAACGGTTGAAGAATCCCCATGGTCACGTGATCAAAATTCAGACACTTGGCAACTGGCACGTACTTACGACGGTGGCAGTGTCCTGGGGTCGGGTGAGCCCAAAGAGCCGAGGTGGCGCAGCAGTTAGAGTGCCAGTACTGCAGGCCACTTTAGCTGACTGTGTTCAGCAGGTCAGCGGTTCAAATCTCACCGGCTCGAGGTTGACTCAGCCTTCCATCCTTCCGGGGTAGGTAAAATGAGGACCCAGATTATTGGGGGCAATGTAAATATATATATATATATATATATATATATATATATATATATATATATATATATATATACACGTTGCTTACTGGTGTACACCGCTTAGAGAGTGCTTGCACTTAAAGCGGTATATAAGTCTCATAAATAAATAAATAAATCTCCTTTTATGACCTCCTGACAAGCAAAATCAACGGGGAAGCCGGATTCCCCTTAACCACCCACGTTACTAACTTAACAACTGGAGTGATTCACTTAACAACTATGGCTAGAAAGGTCACAGAATGGGGCCAAACTCACTTAACAACCGTTTTGCTTAGCACGAGAAGCTTAGGGCTCCATTGTAGTCCAAAGGAGAGGACTACCTGTAAATCCCCAGCCAGGCCTGCTAGAGACATAAGACTCTCCCTGACAGCGTTTCCAGTTCTTGAAAGTCGCCTTTGAGAGACCAGCAGGCCCACCTGTTTGATCCCAATGGTGCTTTCGATCCCCGGCCGTATAGCGAAACCTTCATGCTCTAAAAAGGGGGTTTGGTTGTGCCTGTGAATCATGACTTTCACGCCGGCCGTGGTGGACAGCAGAGGGATGTGGTCTTTTTGGTCCACTTTGAGAATAAGAGAGAGGCCTGCATTGGGAAGCAGAAAGGAGGGAGGGAGGGAAGGAGAAACAGGCATTTTAAAATCAGGATTCAGCAAAAGAGGGCAGGGCTCGTTCCCATCCTGCTCAGATTGCACACTTCAGGTGAGGAGGCTGATAGAAACCGAACCTTCCCTGCACATGGCTTGCCTCTGGTGGTGTGATTGGCAAGCATGGGAGAACACTGGCTGTGTGGGTTGTGTTTCGCTTGTGAATTATTCACGGTGACTCTGCAGCCTCCCATGTGAATAGAGAAGGGAGTATCTGCCTCAAGGAAGATGTACTGGCAGAGCTGCATGTGCTTCTATGTTTCCCGTACGGATCGAGGAAGTTCAGATTTCAAACAGATTAGGGATGTGGGGAAATGTTTGTTGACATTTAGTGTAATTTGTACCATCCACACATTTACATGGGCTGAAATGTTATAAATCTTCCACACGCTTTTCTGGCCACTTCTATATTAAAATGGCAGATCTCTAACCGGATGTTTTGGCCTCCCTGAATTCTGAGTTTTTATTGTGGGCCACGCGTGGAACTCTTTGGTGGCGACATTAGATTGTGCAAGTGAACCCCGTTTCTCCTTTGGCTTTTAATGTTTCCATTTTGGTTTCCCTGAGCTGCCCCTCTTTATTAATAGTGCTGGTGTTGTACATAACAAGTACATCTTTTATCATTTTATGCTCCTTCAGGATTGTGTGCTCTACCATATGGTTTTACTGCCTTTTTAAAAACTATATTCTCACGAATTCTACTGTGCATCTCCGGTCAATCTGCAAAAACAATACAGCGATGTTTTTCTAGGACTTTTAAAAACAACAAAAGCTCTGAAAAGCTCAGGGAGATTTAATGCCCGATTTACATCGAAATGGAAAATCTCTGTGACTCAACTATCTTCTTTCTTCAGATCTCTCTAGAGTAACACATTAGTTCTAAAAACAGCGTTAGCATCTCATAAACTTGCTGTCTGCCTGTTTAAACACATCCTGTATCTTATGGCTGCTATGCTCAGAGCAACCTGTATTTAGCACTGGGATCCCCAAATAGCTGCCCAGTTCTGTAGCACTGTTTTCATTCTATCCGCCCTGCCCTCCAGATTGTTTCTCATTGTCTCCACTTTCTTTGTTTTTTATCATTAAGGTGACATGAGGTCATGGGATCCTGCTTCTCCACACTTATTAAAACCAGTCAATTTTTTATATGTATATATCTAGGGGAAACCTACGGGTAGGTGCACGTATCTTTTTCTTCCGAACAGCAGCAGCTTCAGGAATGGTTTTAATCAGCTAGAAAGAATATGCTTGAGCATTATGCCTGGATTTAAAAGAAAAGACCACCTTCCCCAACAATTCAGTTCTAAACTGAGTTTATTACTAACCCTGGCTAACCCAAGTACATACCATAAACAATTCCTGGCTTGAAAGCTTTCCAGAACTTGTCCGTTCCGTTCTTGTTAAGGGTGAAGCAGCTTCCGTAGACAGGATGGTGAAAATGTTCGTGATCGCTGTTGGGAAAAGACAACACAGAAGAAAAATGAAAATAGTGCCAGAATAAATTTGAACTAAGCCCTTTCTGGGTCTGGTGATTGTTAGCAGTGAACCAGTTTTCTCCAAATTTGGAAGGGTTTTATGTTTCATTTGTCCTGGAAGTGATAAACCATGTAAACCAGAGCTTTCCAACCTTTGCAGCTTTGCAGACTGGTGTGGGGGGGAGGGGATGGTTCCAGGTGAGTGGTGGGCAAGTGCACATACGCGCAGCTGCATTTGCACGAGCAGCGGACGTGAGTGCCTGCCACTCGTGCAAATGGAGCTCGCACACTCGCCGCTTCCATGGCCCAGTTCTGAACAGGCTGTGGTCAGGTACTGGGTCAAGACCTGGGGCTTTGGGACCCCTGCTATAAACAATCTTTTTTCATAGAAGATTGTCTCGCCTCATATATGGCCTGCAGCAATATATAGATAGGCTGGGCTAGGAAAGCAATGGGCCTCAAGTCACCCAAGGAGCTCCATAATCAAATCAGCTAAATTGTCCCAGTCCAACACTTTAACTAATACACTACAGTGGTTTCTCCAGGATGGGTTCTGAGAGATTTTAAAAACATGTATCTTTCTAACAGTAAGATTAGATGTACGGTAATCTAAATCTTGTGGAGACCTTGTGCAATCTGTTATATTTACACCTGCTCTGTGGATCGAGTAAAGTTCACATCTGGCAAATTCCTTAGAATATCCAAGCGTTTGTGAATTTCTTAAGTTTTGTCTGGATAAGTCTAAAACAAACGTTTGCTTAGCTAATATGCTGATAGCGTGATGGTTTTGTTTCTTGAGTTCTGAGGAACATGAGGGGGTTGCCTACATTGCAAGAAGGAACAGGTGGAGCAGGAGAAAGATAAACCTGGATTGCATCAATGCCTATTCTGAGCTACAAGGGACACGCTGTTCACCTGATTACGCTCCTAGCGTGCAGTTGAGCATTTCCCCTGTCTGATCAGTTAAACATTAAATTTTCAGTATCTCTAAATATCTCAAATAAATAAGAGAAGACCGAGAAGAAAGAGGCAAGGGGAAAAAGAAAGCCCAAACCAATCAATTTGTCCATCCCGGCGTGTGTTGTTCCAGTGATACAAAGTGAAACCTATCACTTATTTGTGCAATCCGACTAGCTTTGGGCTGGGCGGCTTCGCCATAGGGCAAAAGGGTTAGCAAAGGTAGAAAACCCACCTTTTGACCTCCTGTCCTGTCCAGCTGAGTTTCAAAGCCCTTGCAATGTCCCCAGGATAATGCTCTGGGCGAGTGTCAGGAGAAGTTATTTAACCAGGTGTGGGCAGGTTTACACTGGTTTTATCAGATCGTCCTCAACGCACCACCGCTACTATATGGAAGGCTGATGTGAGCAGGAGAGTGTTGGGCGGCGCCCGGAATAGCTTCAGCCTCCCCTTTACCTCAAGAGACATAGGAACAGGTGGAGTTTGGAGCAATGCCTGGGTTGTCTCCCCTTCAGTGCCCTGGATATATATATATATATATATATATATATATATATATATATATATATATTTAACCCAAAGGAGAAAGCTCTCAACGCCCTGTTACGGAACTTCAGAAACTACTTGATGCCTGTGAAATTGGTGATTTAAAAATAAGGGAGGTGCGCTTGACAGGTGGGGTTAGAAGGGAAGACACTAATGGATCCTGCCGTTGTTTAGAGAATAATCCATTTAATGATCTGTGTTCATTTCCAAAGGGGAATCAGCATGTTAAGAAACTTGCATGGTTTAATAATCATAATCATCATCATCACAATAACAACAACAACAACAACAACAACAACAACAACAATAATAATAATAATAATAATAATAATAATAATAATAATAATAATAAAGTTGGAAGGACCTTGGAGATCACCTAGTCCAACCCCCTGCTCAGGCAGGAAACCCTGTACCATTTCAGACAAATGGCTGTCCAGTCTCTTCTTAAAGACTTCCAGTGTTGGAGCATTCACCGCTTCTGGAGGCAGGTTGTTCCACTGGTTAATTGTTCTCACTGTCAGGAAGTTTCTCCTTAGTTCTAGGTTGCTTCTTTCCTTGGTTAGTTTTCACCCATTGCTTCTTGTCCTGCCTTCAGGCGCTTTGGAGAATAGCTTGACTCCCTCTTCTTTGGGGCAGCCCCTGAGATATTGGAACACTGCTATCCTGTCCCCCCTCGTCCTTCTCTTCATTAAACTAGACATACCCAATTCCAGCAACTGTTCCTTACATGTTTTAGCCTCCAGTTCCATGATCATCTTTGTTGCTCTTCTCTGTACTCTTTCTAGAGTCTCAGCATCTTTTTTACATCGTGGCGACCAAAACTGGATGCAGTATTCCAAGTGTGGCTTTACCAAGGCCTTGTAAAGTGGTATTAACACTTCACGTGATCTTGATTCTATCCCTCTGTTAATGCAGCCTAACACTGTATTGGCCTTTTTGGCAGCTGCAGCACATGGCTGGCTCATATTTAGGTGATTGTCCACTAGGACTCCGAGGTCCCTCTCACAGTTACTACTATTGAACAAAGTACCCCCTGTACTATACCTGTACATTTGGTTTTTCTTCCTGGCTTTGCTTTCACTTCCCAACTTCATCTCCTCGATACACCCCCCTCCCCCCCCTAGCAGATGCAGACTTTGATTACCTTGTTCGGCACGGCTGCCCATCGTATTGGCAAGAATAGATCAGGTTTTTGATGTGACCATCATGTTGAGACATTTTGATAATGGACGGAATCTGCGACATGATATTCATGTAGTGGAAGCTGTACCACTCTTGGATAGCGTCCACTCCGGAAATGTAGACCTTGTTGTAGCAATTTTCGCCTGTTCTGTTGCACTTAGGAACAAAAAGAAAAAAAAAGGAGGGTACAGATGTTCGGATTCTAAGAAGCTATAATATAGACAGTCCTTGACTTATGGCTACAACGGAGCCCAAAATTTTTCTGTGGCTAAACGAGAGAGTTGTTAAGCAGGTTTCGCCTCGTTTTACGAGCTTCCTTGACACAGTTGTGAAGTGAAACTCTGCCTTTGTTAAGTTAGTAACACGGTTGTTGATCGAATCTGGCTTGTTCGAAGGTCGGAAAAGGGGATTCCAAATGTCATAAATGTGAGTCAGTTTGCCAAGGGTTTGAATTTTGCTGGTGTGACCCTGGGGATGCTGCAACGGTCGTGAGTATGAGGAAATGGCCGTAAGTCACTTTTTTCAGTGCCACTGTAAATTCTAACGGTCACGGAATGAACTGTCGTAAGTTGAGGACTACCTGGGCAAGGTTTTGATGTTTGTTACTTCTAGAAAGCTGCCTTCTTGGGCACTGCTTCCTACAATTAAAAACCCACAAATAGAAGACAAGGGACATGTGTCACGTGAGTAGTGGATTCGCTGTCCCTCTGAACCTTGATTATTCTGCTCTAGCTTTTCTCACGTTTAGTTGACATTATTCCCTACGTCTGAGAGAGAAGGAAGGGACCAGAGTAAGAATCAACCTTTTAAAGTAGTTAGAAAACCTCTCTGTTCCCCCCCTCCCCCTTAAATCATTTCTGCTGGGAGGTATTTCTAAATATCTCTCAGCTCTTTGTGCCAGATCAAGGAAAAAAGGTTAACACTGCTGCTGCTAATACGACGTTGAAATTAGATTCATACGTGTACATGGACCACACAACCACACATAGATCTAGAATCCGTGGGTCAAGATACCATGGGATCTTCTCACTCAGCCAGTATCTCATGAGCTGTCCCATGGAAGCGCTGAGCAATACTCCTTGTGTTCCCTAAGCTGTTCTTAATTGCTAGGTTGGCTGCTGGGGTTTAACAATAACACATGCCTTAAGCCCATGATTATTATTTATTTTACAGGTACAAAAGAAGCGAGGCTATTGTGGGAGAGGCAAGAACTGAGCCTTGCACTGGACTGAGTCACGATTAAAAAAAAAAAAAATATCTCCCTCTTTCATCATTATCATTCTACACTAGTAGAAGCTTGCCTCACGTCCTGCAGATCTGATGCCCTGGCTTTCCTAGAGCTCCCAACCAACCGATTGATAATAGAGAAACTCTCTCATCGTGGGGTTATCTCCTTGTGATTAAGAGTTATCTAATCAGCGAATTAAGAAACTCAAGGAAGGTAGCAAGGTTATCGGGCAAAAAGTTATTTCTCTTTTCCAGATCATTACACCGTGAATACAGGTAGTCCTCGACTTACAACCGTTCGCTTAGTGACCGTTTCAAAGTTACAACGCGTCAAAAAAGGCAACGGATGACCATTTTTTTACCCTTACAACCTTTGCAGCATCCCCATGATCAGGTGATCAAAATTGAGAGGCTTGGCCACTGGCCGTTGCTGCGTCCCAAGGTCATGTGATCACCTTTTGCGACCCTTTTGAACAAGCAAAATCAATGGGGAAGCCAAATTCACTTACCAACCAACCGGGTTACTAACTTACCAACTGCAGTGATTCAGTTGTGGCAAGAACAGTCATAAAATGGGGCAACACTCACTTAACAATTGTCTCACTTAAGAGAAATTGTGGGCTCAGTTGTGGTCGTTAAGTCGAGGACTACCTGTACTAAATGTTAAGTTCTCATTGATCTCTTGTTCAGAGGATGACACTCTCTGTCTACGTTGAGAATCCTAAATTTGATGCAAGTTGTCAATAAAGGAAGGGATTGCAAAGGGGGGGGGAGGGAGGAGTTCCACTTACCAGCCGAAAACCCACTTTCCCACCCATCTTCACTAGGGCGATATTACGATCCAGATGAAACGTGGAGCGGTTGGCCTTGCCAGGATTTTCTTCGGAAAAGTTGATACTGACGTCTTCTAGAGTGCTCTTAGGAATGTGGAAGCCGTATAAATTGTACAAGGTCTCTCTCGCTAGGTTATCCAGTTTAGCTATATCTTGATTGACTGGGCTGATCCTGGGAAGAGGGTAGACATGACAAAGGATGATAAAAGCCTCCAAGATCTTGTTTGGGAGGAAGTACTAGCCTATTCCCTAAACACTCTAGTATGCTGGGTTATGCTAACCATCCCATTAATTAAGCTTGATTAATCTCCAGGAACCTTTGCACTCACCGTCAACAATCCTCCAGGACCTCAGCAAGAGCTAAAATCGGTTCAGATGTCTAGAGCCATAACACTGGCCTCATTACTCTCTGATCCCTGATTGGCTACGACAGCCATATAAATTTATTTATTCAATCTGCAAGCTGCTTCTGTTCTCCAAGTGACGATAAGAGAGGAACGCTACATAAAGACTAGAACCCGGTGAAAACAGTAAAAACCACAACACTATAGATTATAAATCAGAGGAGGAAGCACCGAGTACTAAAGAATAATATCCTTGGAACAACTACAACAATGAATATAGTAGGGAAACTACTTTGGTTCAATTTCCCCAAATTCAGAAGGGGTGGAGGAGTGTGTGTGTGTGTGTGTGTGTGTGTGTGTGTGTGTGTGTGTGTGTGGAACTTACCTATAAGGATTCAAAGTGCAAAGGGTGACGGCAGGGAACATCTTGGGTTCTGAATGAACAGACATTGACATGACGACGGGATAGGCCCAGTACTGGTTGAAGATCAGCGCAAACTGCCAGTAGAGCATAGCAAAGCTGGTTAAGAAGAGCAGAGTCCAAAACGCTGTCTTCATCTTATTGCTGTTCGAGCAGACCAGGCGGATGGTGCCATGGATCGTGGTGTTTAGACAAAAGAACTCAAACAGGTCCCTGAAAGAGCTGTAAAACTCAATCAGGGCTGCGTCGTCCTCTTTTGCTTCTGCCTCTGCTTCTTTCGGCAAATCTTCCCCCATTCTCTAAACTTGGAACAGAAGTTTGGAATTCTCAATTAGGGCAACCCGGAGGCAAATGTCAGAGTCAGGCTCTCTTTATAATCCATCAGTCCTCTTTCTCTATTTCCCACCCACCCCCCTTCTTCAAGTTTGAGAATTCCCAAGCCGTGTGATTAATCCAGCGCCTGGAATCTATCTCGATGTCTGTAACAAGTCCTCGTTCTTACAAACCTCAAATTGCTCCCCAGGTCCAATAATTGTCCCGAAGAAGGAGTGAGGAATTTAAATCACAGGATACAGCTTTTGGGAGTATCGTTCTATTTCCCAGATTTCAACACTGACTGGTTACATGTGTCAGTACTAGTTGTGAATTGCAGTGTTCCATGGATGGGCTGATAGATTGTTTTGGATTTTGAAAGACTTGTCAAATGTACAAAGGGAATACAGCAGCAGTCTTAAGATACAGCTGTTTCTTCACTCTTGGAACCTATGCTAAAATCTGATTAGGCAACATTTTTTTTAATTTATCATTTTAATATATATATATATATATATATATATATATATATATATATATATATATATATATATATATATATATATATATATATATACACCTATTTCCAAGAAGTCCTAACAACAATAACTAAAAAAAACCCAGAGCAAAATCTTTATAAGATACTGCTCTCTGCTGGTTGCAACTGAAGACAGCCAAATGCTTACTGGATATAACACTGGACAGAATAAGTAAAAATATTCATACACATATTTTCAAGGCTTTCCACAAAAAAATGTTCCACCTCAGGCAAATTTGGAAGTTTCAGACTTATATGATATAAGCTTTTTAGTTGATTGTTTTAGGAATTTCATGGCTACAGAAGCTTGAAGAAATAAAAAAGGAGAGAAGCTACAGGGAAATGAAAGGAACAATCATTTCCCTTTACAAATGTGTCTGTAGGGACTGCATTTTTGGAAGGGTTTGGAAGAAGCATCTATATCTGGATGGCAGTTACTAAATTCATCTAATTTCCATCTGCAGTTATCATGCTGATAGCCAGCAAAACTGAAAAAAAACAACCCTTTTTTCTCGGTTCTGTGAGTGAGCAGAATTACAATGAATTCCTTGCAGAGAAGATCACTGTAATAAAATAATCAGTCGATATACTTGTCTTGCGGGGGGGGGGGGCTGAGCAATATAGCCAAGAATTGAGTATGTGTCTTTTATAAAGTCCTTCTGCCTGGAACATATTTTCTACAGCACTTACTTGGATCTGCAAAAATTAGCATCCTAATTCCACATTTGGATTTCACTATGCTTCTGCTTTCAAAATGTTTCAGGCTTCGGCTTTATTCACATGGTCTAAGAACTGTCCACCTTTTCAGTATTCAGAGATTAGTTATATAAAATTCAAAATTCTGCGGCCTTTAACATATATACAAAATGCCAGCTGCTGCCTTAAACACGGAAACACGGTTTGATTTCTACTTCTTTCCTATCCATTGATTATCTACATTTCTGTTTTTCCTCAGTAGGAAAGTTAAGCAGGATTCCAGGCAGAAAAGGAGTTACATAATAAGTTATATGATGCAAGCAATTGAGTTATACCAATGTCATCATCAGGTTAAAAAAAAAAAAACCCCAAACACTTATTATTAACTGTACTGATGATAACATAATGGCCAGGACAAGCAGTTACTGAATCATCTTTGCATTTCAGACACCGTGTTGCACAAAATACAGTGATTCAAAGCCAGATTCTGCACTCGTTATCCAACACTGTGATTTCTGATGTAGTGAAATACTGTTTGAGGATTCTGATCCACCCACCAAAATTCACTAGTTAACGGGAAAAGCCCTTGACGCCATTTGGGGAGGTCACAAAAGCCCAGCCTACTCGGTGAAGTGAAATCAAAACATCACTGACACATGATTTGATGTACAAGTAGCCCTTGACTTACAAAAGTTCATTTAGTGACAATTTGTATGTACAACCGCAATAAAATAAAAGTGACTTATGGCTGATTTTCAGACTTACGACCGTTGCAATGTCTCCATGGTCGCATGATCAAAACTTGGTTTGGCAACTGGTTCGTATTTACGACGGCAGCCGTGTCCCAAGGTCATGTGATCCCCATTTGCAACCTTCTGACAAGCAGTCAATGGAGAAGCCAGATTCACGTAACGATGGTGTGACTAACTTAACTACGGCAGTTGTTCACTTAACAAATGCGGTAAGAAAGGTCACTTAACAACTCTCTCACTTAGCAACAGAAAAATTCGGCTCAGTTGTGCTTGTAAGTCGAGAACTACTTGTGTATGTCTAAATGACACATGCTAACATTCTAGTATTCAAGTAACTTTGGGTCAATCTTTTTCTCTCTGATCGCAGCGCAACCCCAATGCTGTTGTTTTTGGAGAAAGAGGAACAAGAAAGAGGCACTTAAAACTGGGGAGAAAGGTCTGCAGTTCTATGGCCCAATCCTTGCCTTCTGGGCATGAGATCCTGGGTTCAAGTTCTGGCTCCACCGTTTGAAGACAGATAAGAGAGCATGTTGTGGGAAAGGGGCTGTCCCTGCTGCCCCTTAACCTACATAAATAGGATCTAGAGCAGCAATTGGTGACACTGAAACCCTGGTGTACGGTTTTGTCTGTTCATCCTCACTGCCCGTGTTTCAGGAAAATGGGTGTGTTTTATGAGGAGTTTTATGTGAGCTTTGAGCAAATAGGTTCACCTAGAGAAGTACAATTTTTTTCCCTGTGGAGATTGCGTTCTTCTGTCACCTGTGAATCATCTGCTTTTTTGCTGTGTTTTGGGATACTCACGATGCATTAAAACCCATAAAATACTTTATATGTTCAGTGTATAAGAGTAAAAAAAGTATTGTTGTTTAGACCAAGGATGTCCAACTTTGGGAACTTTAAGGGTTGTGGATTTCAACTCCCAGAATTCCCCAGCCAGCCAAGCTGCCTGAGGGATTCTGGGAATTGAAGCCCACAAGCCTTAAAGTTGCCAAGGTTGGAAACCCCTGCTTTAGACTGTCATTCCAAAAACTGTGGTCAGACAAAGCAAAGTTGATGCAGGGGGGAACTGTGTTAATACGATGGGGAAAATGCAAGTAACTTGTACATGGCAGAATCCACTCATTCCAAGCCCCTTGATTAACCGCTGGGTCTATCCTTAATTGTAGTTAGCAGTGCAGAAAAATATATCACCTGTATCCTGAAGCCACGCACTCTACACTACAATTAAGACATGTTTCACTCCAGTATGATGGCAATTATAAACTTGTTCCAGGCACCAACGGCAGAGCCAGACAATAAATGCACAGGAAAGAGAGGAGAAAAAAAAAATACCTCTGTTTTGTGCACGCTTCTTCTTTGCTGTCTCTGGGATTTTGCTGAGTAGAGTTTGGCAGAGCAGCTCCGGGTTTGGCCTGAAGCAGCTGGGAAAGTATCAGAACGGGATCCCAAAAGCGTTCCTTTATAACCACAGATAAGACTTAGGAGCTGTCCAGCCTCACTATGCAAATTGGGACCGTTGAGTCATCTTCCCAAGGGCCTGGAGTTTCTCAGCCTCCAGTCCATCAGCTGAGCTTCCTTCAAAGGAGTCAGAAGAGATTGGACCAGAAAAGCCAGTTGGGGGGGGGGGAGAAAATAACAAATTTCACTTCACTGGAATGCTGGTTGTTTTGCTTTGTTTGGGATGGGAAGGACTCTTGGGAGGGTTTGTCCGATGTGGGTTTGGGCCGCGTTGTGCTCCTTTTCAGAACCGCTTGCTCCTGGCTTCCTGATTCAAAGACGCTTTTTAAGAGTCCAATTTCCCATCTCTTCTCGCCGCTTTGAATGATTTGGATGTTTCTTCTGGTTTCTTAGAAGCTTTAGGGCTTTAGGGGGCTGTCAAGTCACTTCCTGGACCCTCTGCAGTCCAAAGGCGGTCTTCTCCTGGACGTGGAAGAGCTGCTCTGGTATCGGAGAGAATATAATCAGAAATAAGGAGCATTTGCACTGTTAACAAAACCTGAATGTCTTACACGTCTCCAATTTAAGCAACTTTTAATCCTTTATTTTGTTTTCTCCATCACCACCACCCCGGTGGCATATACCAATGCCTAAGCGGGTAATAAAAGCACACGGAAAAAAATCCATACCCATATTCTATCAATTACATTTTTTTTCTGAGAATTCAATCAACACACAGGAATATTTCTATTTATTAGATTTTCGTCTCGCCTTTATTGCTTTTATAAATCATTCAAGGGGCAAATATACCTAACATGCCTCCCTTCCTCCTATTTTCCCCGTAACAACCACTCTGTGAGGAGGGTTGGGCTAAGAGACAGTGGCTGGCCCAAAGCCACCGGTCCAGCTTTCATGCCTAAGGTGGGACTGGAATTCACTGTCTCTTGGTTTCTAGTCTTAATCACTGTACCAAACTGGCTCTCATACATACAGACAGACGTAAATACACAATGTAAATACTGTATTGGGGGATTCTTGTGCACAATTATGCATACTTTATTTCCTTAAGATAAGGAGAGCCAGAAACGTATTTGTTCACAGGTGGAATGTCTCAGACTCTGGATGTGAACATTGCTGATCAGGGAACAGATCTGAATCCAAAGATGTAATCTTCAATATTTTACAGCACCTATCTTACAGGTAACCACTACCGCTGAAGTACCGTTGTTCCCCTGGGCTAGCGGCCCAACCTCTTCTGGCTTTTTGTTAGAAACTGCTTTTGCAGATAAGAAAACATCATTGTTTTCTTTCTACTTTAGTGAATTGTCAGGTAAGGATTGGGAAAGCCAGACAGAGTGGCACTTCAGCAATGCTGTTTGCATAAACAACAGAACACACCAGATTTACTAAACAGTCCAACTGAACGGTTTCCTGAAAAAAATATTAAAAATATAGGGGTCAGGAGTCCAGCTTTGTTACTGTTGAGGAAATTGTTGTAAAATTCTCTTGAACCTGTTGCAAGGCCTGGAATCTATTTCAAACTCAGTTCCACTCGGAGGGCATAATCTTAACCTGAGATGTGACTAAAGCAATCCTAAGCCATTCCTCGTCAAACAAAG